ATATTTTTGCTGATGAGACTAAAATCCGATTCACTCACTATTCAGTTTCTGTAGTAGCTCCTGAACAGCTACACAGGGAGCGGTGTCTCAACAGAGCTGAGAAGAAGTGACCCTGTTTGCTGTGTTCTCACAGCTGCCAGTGGCAGTTGGTAACCTCCCATCATTTGGGTCTTTGATGTGTCTCATCACTTTTGAGCCAGTATAAAATTCCAGCATTCCCATGAATGAAATGAGTAGGACTTGCATAAAAACCGACTCTTTCTGCTTGTTTTGAATGCACGTTCTGATTTTGTTCAATGTTGTCCAGTGTTGTATGAGTGAACAGTGAACAGTAAGTCTCTCATCTCCATGGTACTTGCCATTTTATGGATACTACCATATCCCTCCTCTGTCACATAGTGGCCCCTGATTTAAGAAACCAGGTCTGATGCACAATCCCTTAAATGTGCCTAATCATTTCTTTGCCACATTTATTTACTTGGTTTGGTCTCTCTTTTTCATTTATGTACTTGTTTCTCTTTTTGAGCCGGGAGACCAGAACACCACACAGAATGTAACACAAGGAGACAACACCTGGGTATCCTGGGGTCTCTTAAGCTTTTGCTAATAATTCTTATTGAATAATTGTTTTTTCTGATGCTGCTGAACACTAAGACTTAGTCGAGGCGGAGTGGACCTGTCTTATATCTGTTAGATCTTTTTCCTGATTGGTAGTAGCTAGTTGAGAGTTGGTCACTATATTTGAACAGTTAGGATTGATTTTCCCTTGTGTTCATCTCTTTCTGGTATGCCCCTAAAGTATTTGCTATAGAAATATTTCAGCTTAAAGCTTTTAAAAAATTTGGCTATGAAGCAGAGGAAAATTGATCACTTGTTTTCAAAATTGTAAATTGAATTAAATGAAATTATTTAAATAAACTTTATAAATATTTAGAGATACAATTGAGTTTTGTTCTACAAAAATACCGTGCTGGAAAGGTAGCTTTAGAAACATGATATGCTGCATTAATAACAAGCACAAATAGGTGCTGCTTTCCAAGCTGGAGGGATAATCACAGAATCACAGAATGTTAGGAGTTGGAAGGGACCTCGAGGGATCATCATTTCCAGAGAGGTGACCTAAAACAAAACTTAAAGACTTGTAAGAGGTTTAAGTCAGTATTCTTTAATACAGTGCTGGGGTCCTCTCAGAATCACCTCAGATTCCCACTGGCCTTCACTTATACAATCCCTTATATTCCCTATACTAACACATATGCATCCTAACTACCGCAAATAAACACATCTTTTCATAGAACTAGTTGTCGTAAGTCCGGCCTATTTTGGCTCCTTTCTTCACTGGTCCACTGGTGTCCTCTCATGGTAAAAAACCACCCTCTTGAGGTATTTTCATGGTTGGTGGTCTTTTACTCCATCAGATACTTCATGGTCATATCTTCAGCTTCATCACTTGTCCTTTTGGTGACCCTTCTTTTGGAGCATGCATAGAGGTAATCTGGTTTCATAACCTCCCTCTGCAAACTTGGCTTGGTATGCATCATTGTTCTTTTCCCTAAACGTCCTGTGCCTTAAACAAAATGGTTCTTCAAATAGTCCTAAACTGCACGATTATCCTATTTAATGATTTACCCTACCTGTCAAGTATACATAGTTTATGACCTTTTTTACTAAATTTTAAGTCCCCTAAGGCATTTTCCATTAGCTTTGTGGTGTTCTCTGTACTTAACCATTATCAGTCATCCAGTCCAACCCCTCTGCCAGAACAGGATCACCTAAGGTAGGTCACACAGGAATGTGTCTAGGTGGGTTTTGAATGTCTCCAGAGAAGGAGACTCCACAACCTCTCTGGGCAGCCTGTTCCAGTGCTCTGTAACCCTTACAGTGAAAAAGTTTTTCCTTATGTTTACATGGAACTTCCTATGTTCCCCCTTGCACCCACTGTCCCTTGTGCTGTCATTGGACATCACAGAGCAGAGCCTGGCTCCTTCCTCCTGACACTCGTCCTTTACATATCTATAAACATGAATGAGGTCACCCCTCAGTCTCTTCTTCTCCAAGCTAAAGAGTCTCAGCTCCCTCAGCTGCTCCTCATAAGGGAGATGCTCCACTCCCTCCATCATCTTTGTGGCTCTGCTGGACTCTTTCAAGCAGTTCCTGTCCTTCTTGAACTGAGGGGCCCAGAACTGAACACAGTATTCCAAATGTGGTCTCACCAGGGCAGAGCAGAGAGGGAGGAGAACCTCTCTGACCTACAACCACCCCTTCTGATACACCCCAGGTTGCCATTGGCCTTCTTGGCCACGAGGGCATAGTGCTGGCTCATGGTCATCCTGCTGTCCACCAGGACACCCAGCTCCCTTTCCCCTGTGCTGGTCTCCAACAGGTCAGTCCCCAGCCTACACTGATACATGGGGTTGTTCTTTCCCAGATGCAAGACTCTACACTTGCCCTTGTTGAATTTGATTAAATTTCTCCCTGCCCAACTCTCCAGCCTGTCCAGGTCTCGCTGAATGACAGCACAGCCCTCTGGAGTGGCAGTCAATCCTCCCAGTTCTGTGTTGTCACTATATGTTGAATAGTACTGGTCCCAGTACCGACCTCTGGGGGACTCCACCAGACACAGGCCTCCAACTGGACTCTGTCCCATTGACCACAACTCTCTGACTTCTTTCCTTCAACCAGCTCACAATCGCTTCCTCCAGCACCATGTGGTCCTGCAGGGCATGAATCCTGCTCTCAGCATGGGGTCTAGGACCCACTTTCCTCACCCCAGCAAATGAGCACTGGTGGGGTCCTTGCAACAGGGCAAGATAAAATCTATCCACCTGGTTATGTCCTCATAAAAGGCTCTCAAGTTGGTCAAACATGACTTCCCCTTGGTAAAACCATGCTGACTGCTCCTAATGACCCTCTTATCCTTGATAGCCTGGAGACAGCGCCAAGAATAAGCTGTTCCATCACCTTTCTAGGGATGGAGGTGGGGCTGACCGGTCTGTAGTTACCCAGGTCCTCCTTCTTGCCCTTTCTGAAGACTGTAGTGACATTTGCTTTCCTCCAGTCCTCAGGCACCTCTCCTGTTGCCCATGACTTACCAAAGATGATGGAGAGTGGCCTAGCAATGACCTCAGCCAGCTCCCTCAGCACCTGCGGGTGCATCCCATCAGGGCCCATGGATTTATGGATGTCCAGATCACTTAACTGATCCCTAACCCAGTCTTCATCAACCAAGGCAAACTCCTCCTGTATCCTGACTTCCTCTGGGACCTCAGGGGTCTGGGGCTCCTGAGGACAGTCTCCAGCAGTGTAGACAGAGACAAAGAGGGCGTTCAGTAACTCCGCCTTCTTAGTATCCTCTGTCACCAGGGCACTCACCTCATTCAGCAGTGGGCCCGCTTTGCCTCTAGCATTAGTTTTGTCTGCAGTGTATTTGAAGAAGCCCTTTCTGTTGTCCTTGACCTCCCCTGCAAGGTTTAATTGCAAGGAGGCCTTACCTTTCCTAGTTGCCTCTCTGCATCCTCTGACAACAGTCCTGCATTCCTCCCTAAGTGGCCGTTCCCTCCTTCCATGATCTATAGGCTCTCTTCTTCCACTTGAGTTTGCCCAGCAGTCCCCTGTTTAACCATGCGGGTCTCCTGGCTCCCTTTCTTGATTTCCTACCCAGTGAGGTGCTCTGATCTTGAGCTTGGAAGAAGTGGTCCTTGAATGTAAACCAACTATCTTGGGCCCCTTTATCTTCTCGTACCCTGTCGCATAGAATTCCCCCTAGCAATTGCTTGAAAAGGCCAACGTTGGCTCTACTCAGGTCCAGGGTTGTCATCCTGCTTGGTAGTCTGTTCCTACCGCACCAGAACCTGAACTCCACCATCTCATGGTCGCTGCAGCCAAGGCTGCTGCCCTCAGCCTTCACCGCTTCAACCAGACCCTCCTTGTTGGCGAGTATAAGATCCAGCAGCGCTCCTCGCCCAGTTGGCTCATCCACCATTTGCATCAAGAAGTTATCACTGATGCACTGGAGGAACCTCCTGGACTGCGAATGGCTGGCTGTGTAGGCCTTCCCGCAAATATCTGGGTAGTTAAAATCCCCCATGAGAACCAGGGCCTGTGCTTGTGAGGCTGCTGTCAGCTGCCTGAAGAAGGCCTTGTCAACTTCCTCATCCTGATCAGGTGGCCTGGAACAGACACCCACAGCAGTACTGCCCATGCCAGCCTGCCCCTCAAGTCTCACCCACAAGATCTCAACTTGCTCCTCGTCTGCCCCTGGACACAATTCAATACATTCCAGTTGCTCTCTCATGTATAGGGCAACTCCTCCCCCTCGCCTGGCTGGCCTGTCTTTCCTGAAAAGGACATAGCCATCCATGACCACATTCCAGTCATGGGAGCTGTCCCACCGTGTCTCTGTAATTGCCACCAGATCATAACACTCTTCACACTCTTGCTCTTGGAAGAAATAACCATATATTAACTCAGCTTTGAATGTGTTTCTGTAATCAACCTAGGGAGGCAGATGGGCAGAGGAGTCATCCTTCCCTCACGTCCTGTGAAAAAAAGAAAAAAGCTGCACATAGTATCTTTTAATTGGGAAGATGCAGTGGCAGCTTCTAACTAACAAGAACTCCCTCAGCTGTCAAACCCTTGAGGAGGAGGCAATAGCACTTTTGGAAATTATGTGGTTTTGTCACATAGAAGGTAAAATTGTGTTTGGAAGGATTGCTCTCTCTGCTTTCTGAAGAATACAATGCAGCAGTAGGAAAGAAATTATATTGTCTGAATTTTTCAATGGAGATCAAGAAACTTTGAGAATCACTTGCTTGAAGTTTCATTTATAACTGACTACAAATAACACGCCATTGCGCAGAATACTGAGTTCACGTGTGTGTGAACTTTGCTTCTTCTAGTGTGTTCAGTGTTTAAATGTGTTTCCATCAATATCTTGCATGATTGGAATAGATTCACAGAGATTACGTTGATTCATCTGTATCATTGCTTTTCTTTTTTAGGGTGTTCTTGAGAGCCATCAACAAATTTGCAGAGACAATGAACCAGAAATTTCTGGAGAATATGAATTTTGAAGTGCAAGTGAGTATTGAGACGTTTCAGCCGAGCTGAGGCAGTATGTGCAGGTGTGATCATTCTGGTCTCTCAGAGTCCCTTCTGTTACCTGGTATCAGTATCAAAATGCCTGTTGGTTCGAGTGTGGCAGGATTAGGCCATCTTTGACGTGACAGGAAAATCGTACTTTATTTATTATAAGGCAGCCGGAGTATTTTGTACTGTGATTCTCCCACACTTGGCAAGCAGAAAACTCTTTTTTTAAAAACTTACTTAGCCAGCCATGTGTATTCAGAAATACAATCTTTGATGTAATGCACATAGCCTTTACAATATCGCTTCTATGTATGTAGGGCAGAAAAAGCTTAACTTCATTTGATTCCTAGAGTGTTTAGCACTTGGAATTTACTTTTATTTTTAACTTGCAGTCTTCTTGATAAGACAATCTAGATTTATTTTCTTTTTCTTTTAGTATTTCTTTCTGAAATTATTTTGAATTAGGATTTTGTTCTTGTTTTTAGTTTGCTCAATACAGTGTTGTACTACTTCACTACTTGGTCATGCATTTTACCATATATTTGACTTGCTTCAGATAAAAATGTCATTTTCACATTCATTGAATTGTTATTAAAATATAAATAGAGTTTTAGAATCAGGATTTGTCAGTAAATGCAGACTGATGATGATGTGTGCTACAGATAGAAAACAGTAGTAAAATGAGTATGAAAAATCATTACATTTCACTCCTCTTTATATTAACTGCAGTTAAGAGCAAATGTTTTAAGTTCAAAAAAGCTTCCCGATTACAAAAATGTAATCTGTTCATTAGTTAATAATTTCTTGACCCTAATCGTGAAGTTGAGAGAAAGTTCAGGGCTCTGCCTTCTTGATTTCTTGAGGCTTATGTTTTATGGTTGATCTTGCAACTTGAAATCTGTTTTAATTGATTCTACTCTCATGTGACTCTTCAGGTTTGCTGTGCTAAAAACTGCTTGGTATTGGCCTCTCAGTCCCTAACACAAAACAACCTCGGTCACAAATAGCTACGGAGCAGTCAGGTTTTTGAATCATAAGGAAAAATGTTTATCCCGACAAACTTAAGACTTCTTTTTAATAAATATCCATGCTGGATATTTACTCTCAAATCCTTGACATGTTTATGATATAATCTCTCTTAGGTTATTTTTTTTTTTTAACAACCGATTAAGTTATCATTTCTATAACACATGACCATTTCTTACTGCACAGTGCATCAGTAATCTTTAAAAGCAAATAAAACAGGCCTGGTGGGCGGCAGTATGGGTGGGCTCCAAAAATACGCAGATGACTATAAAGACTGTGTACCTGTCAACATTTCATTAAGGTGTACAGTGCCTCTTTCAGATGTTAAAGCAGCAGTCTGAACCTAGAACTTGTGTTGCAGATAAGCTTCTTCCTATGGCAATTCTGTGCATTCCACAATGTTCTCAACCAATCAGGGGCCTTGTAGTTCAACACGGAACCTTGCAGCTCAAGAGAATGTGTTAATGTGTACGCCTTTATTCATGACTTGTCAAATATCTGGGGGCTTTGACTAAGCTAAACAACATTACAGTAAATAGGTGTTGTGCCATCTAAGCAATTGTAATACCTTCCTAGTTTTCAAAAGAGACTTAAAAGTACCAGGCAGAAACGTTACTTCTCTTTCACGAAAACTTATCTTCCTGAAAACCTTCTCACAGTACCATAAATGTACCCATTTTAAAAGCTGATGCTGGACTAAAGAAGGTGTGAATAATGCAAAGCACGTTGTCTGATTTTCTTTATTAAACAATAAAATTTAATTTCCCACTATTGTCTCTACATTTTCAGATCATTGATAGCGTCTTAAGGCCAGTTTGTTTATGTATTTGGTTTCCTTTGGATGAATCTAAATTAAAATATTGAAGAAGCCCAGATTTTATTGTAGGGTTGTAACCTGTGTGTCATCCACAGTGCTTACGTGTTCATGCTTGCATATGATACATATGTGTTCCATATATGGAAGACATCAGCTGGAAGATACTTTAAGAAATCTCAGTATGGAGAGGCAGTGGATCTTCTCGAAGTGATGTTCATAGATTCTGCATAGATTACACTGGTACATTTAAGAGAGAGCTGAGGTCTTTACCTCAGGATCAGGACACTGGACCTAATAACTGGTATGAATGCCCTTGTCCATTTAACAAGAATTGTATACACAGATGCTTTACTAGACAATGAAAGAGAAGCAAAACTGGTTTTTAAGTGTTATCTCCTTCCCAAGTCTACCCTGAAAAGGCTGGAAGAACCAAGCTTCGTTAAAAGCACTCAACTTGCATTCCAAAAACAGAACCCTGAAAAATCCTTTGCAAAACTACTTCTTGGAAATGCTCCAAGTGAGCTTCAATTTAAATTCAGTAGTTCTCACAGGTAAAATATTTACTTTAAAAATGTATTTTCCCTGGAAATTTTGGGCAAGCCAACACCCAAGATTTTAATGTTTAAAAGGTTCTTTAATTTATTTTTTTTCTGAAGGTCAATTTATCCAAATAATTTCTAACAATCATTTTGCCTAACTATTCTAGAGCCTTTTATGGTAAGAGAGTAGGCTATGTCTTTACTAAAAAATACTGTATTATCCTTAAAGTTACAGAATTTTCTTAAAATGCTCTAAAGCATTGAGGCATTAGGAGGAATAACTTCAACTATTTTTTCTAAAAAAAAAAAATTGTCTTTTGAAGTCATAGTTTAAATCTTCCTACTCACAGAATCATAGAATCATAGAATGTGTTTGGTTGGAAGGGACCTTTAAAGCTCATCCAGTCCAACCCCTGCAGTGAGCAGGAACACTGTTACTACATCAGGTTGCTCACAGCCCCATCAAGCCTGACCTTGAATATCTCCAGGGATGGGGCCTCCACCACTTCTCTGGACAACCTGTGCCAGTGATCCACCACCCTCATAGTGAAGAACTTTTTCCTAATGTCCAACCTAAACCTACCCTTTTCTAGTTTAGAACCATTACCCCTTGTCCTATTTGCTACATGCCCTAGTGAACAGCTCTTCCCCAGATTTACTATAGGCACCTTTCAGGTATTGGAAGGTCGCTGTAAGGTCCCCCTGGAGCCTTCTCTTCTCCAGGCTGAACAACCCCAACTCTCTCAACTGGTCTTCACAGGAGAGGTGCTCCAGCCCTTTGATCATCTTTGTGGCCTCCTCTGGACCTGCTCCAGCAGTTTGATGTCCTTATGTTGGGGGCCCCCAGAATTGGATGCAGTTGAACCTCATGAGGTTCATTTGGGCCCACTTCTCCACTTTGTCTAAGTTCCTCTGAATGACATCCCGTTCCTCTGACATGTCAACAGCACCACTCAGCTTAGTATCATCTGCAAACTTGCTGAGGTTGCCTTTGATTCCACTGTCTATATCATTGATAAAGATATTAAACAACACTGGTCCCAGTACAGACCCCTGAGGGACACCACTTGTCACCCGTCTCCAACTGGACATCGAGCCGTTGACCATTACCCTCTGGCTGCGACCATCCAGCCAGTTCCTTATCTGCCAAATGGTCCACCCATCAAATCCATGTCTCTGTCCTGTCCTTGCTGTCTGTGGAAGGCTTGGTCGTGGAGGTGTAACTTTTCATGTGGCTTGCACTGGCTTGAGTTGTTCACTAATAGCATGGATGCCAAAGTCACTTGCTGTAGTCCAAGAAAATTGAGCAAATGACAAATAAGAGAGACAACATGTATATATATATATTTTATTGGAATGTATCTTAGCTGAAAGCAAACATGAGCAGCGGTTAACTCAAAGTAAATGAGAAACTTGTATACTTTATATCATAGTTTACAGTTTCAGCCTCTGGGGCTGTTAAATCTTTTTAGATTTAACATTTGGTTTTCCTCAGTTGTTCTGGAGTACTTTTCAATAATATATGAACAAGTAATCCTCTGTGCAGCTGTTGCAGTGCTTGTATGTTTTTATTTTAGCGATTAAGGTACCAACAGGCTAATATAATACGTAGCTTTTGTTTTAGCAGCTGCTTGGCAAATGCAAACTGAATAAAGCTTACCTCTGTTATTTATCCATTGCTTCTTTGTTAGGATTTTTGGATACAGAATAGTGATGGGAAGCTAAAGCAAAACTTTGAGATGCAGTTTCCTTCAAAGGGGAGCAGATCTTTGGGATTTCTTTGAGGTATCTGTATTTAAAAGAAATCTAGGAATTTTAGAGGAACATTGATGAAAATAAGCAATACATTGATGTTCCATAGGGAAGTCGTTGCCAAGAACCATACAATAGATCTGCAGATGGAAACAAATGCTGGTATGTTATTTTTTAGTATTATGATAATAAATGTTACAGTGCAACAAAACTATCAGTGGGGGAAAACTAGCAATTGATGGAAGCTCAGTGTTGTTGAGGTTTTAGGAAGCATACACCTTATGACTGTAATCAGTGGGCCAGATACTGATTACAGTAAATCTAGGATATGCGTCCTAAAACCAGAACTGAGACAATCTCACACCAAGGAGTGCAGCTTAACCTCAATTCTTTACACTGGGCTCTTTTTTCAAATTCCAGAGGGAAAAAACCCAGTGATCTTGAGATGTGCTTCTGCTGTTGCTGAGCCTGACACAGTTTTGAATGAGCTTGTTTGATGTGTTTTACAAATAATGTCAAGCTCTTGCACTTGATATGAATAGTTGTGCATCTAGATTTAATTTAATTTAATTTAAGCCATAGGTTCAATGATGAAGCTGTTACATACCTCAGCTTACATACAAATACCAAAACTATGCACAGCAGAGCAGTGATGTGCTGTTAATTTTTCTGCCTTGGCATGTAATAAGTTCAGTTTCAGAGTCCATTGCTTTAGAGGGTCCTTTTTTTAAGTTCCGGTGCTTTGACACCAGGATTGTCATTGCAGCGGTCAGGCAGGAGTGCCAGAGCTGCTGTATGGGTTGAGAGTCATTATTCATAGAGATAATTAAATAGGCATCTGATGGCTGAGATTATAT